ACTTATAAAAAAACATATTTAAAGAACCCTTGCCTACGTGGGTCCTAGTCCTTTCCAAGTGCGAGATAAATTTCCACAGCTGCCACTTTGCCGCACAAAACTGCGCGGGAACGAAGCTGGAAGGTAGTGTTACCCTGAAATCGCTCGGAATTATGCTGCTCGCCTCATGCTTAAATGGAAAGGCAGAATGAATCCTCAACGTGTAGAATTAGTACACATAGCTGGACAGAGTTTGGTTAGGCGCTACGTTGAGCCTTATTAAACTGAGGTACCCTTATAGCGCCCATTCAAGCTGCAACATACCGACCGCCCGCCCACAAAAGTCCGATCCGATGCCGATGCTCGTATCGCTTCATTTGCGAAGTACAATACAAACGAAGGAATTGATGCGAAGCGGCTTTTCGGCTCGGCTGCATGGATATATGAGTGCAGTGAAGAGCCGTATCTACCGTAGCGGTTATTGGCACGATGCCAACGGGAAACTCGTCCGAAATTGCTTTCTGAGTCGTGTAGAACAAGGGCTTTTTTCGCAGGTTTTTGACTGTTTCATTCGTTCAGCCTAATGGTTCCATGTTCGAGTAACCTTAAACAGATTGTTGTTGGTCGGGCCAGCTTTGTTGATAATTCGAGACCAGTACTACAAAGGATCTGATCTAAAGCTTATTGTAAGGCGCATTCCAAAAGGCGTTTGCTAGAAGCCGACCGTTTTATCCCATCAATACAGGTCATCCCGGACGCTCTCATGAAGCGACACAAGCAAGGATGGTTGGATGAATATTCGAGCGACTTGAACGAAATTGTGGAAATGATCAGGAAATACCGCAAAGAAAAGAAAACCAGAAGCATAGGTTATCTAGGAAATGTTGTGGATTTGTGGTAAGCATTGCATCCGCCATTCACACTGCCCTCAATTTGTTCAACCTTTTTTCTTCAAGGGAACGTCTAGCCGATGAAAGCGAGCTGCTTGTGGATCTGGGGTCGGATCAGACGTCACTTCATAATCCATTTTTGGGTGGCTACTACCCTGCAGGTATTAGTGTCGAAGAGGCTGACACGATGATGACCGAGGATCCAGAACGCTTCAAGCAACTTGTTCAGAAAAGGTAAGAGTCTAGAAAAACCGCTTTTGCCAAGGCTTAACCATTCTGTCACGATACTGTCACATCTGAGGTTGATGAGACATATAGCAGCCATTGACAACTGGGGCTGCTCGTGGAATGCACTTCTGGGATTACGGCAATGCATTTTTGGTGGAATGTCAAAGAGCTGGAGCCGATTTGCGTGACCAAAAATCAAAAGACGATAAAACTTTCCGATATCCGTCATACATGCAGGACATCATGGGGTGAG